AAGTACTGAAAAACATTATTTCATATTTTTCTTAAATACTTTACATCACAGAGAAGTCACACAAAATTTTCATAATTTTTGGAGCTCTAAATAAATCTACACAAAAATAACAAAAAGCAGACACTATTCATTCAAATCGAAAATAGAAAAATCCATTTGAACGCCGAGTCATCGACATGGTGACCCCACCTGTCATCCCCTTCCTCCCGCTTTGACTACGATGATGATGGCGCTGATCGGCGATATCTCGACAACGGCGAGATCAACGGCGACAGCGAAGGCACTATCGAGATTACTACATCACGGCGCGCACCGATTTGTGGCTAAGCACGCGACCAATTCTTTGCTGGACCGAGCACTACGCCGCCATGGCGGCTATGATGTACAGCGACACAACGCCGGGCGAAACGGGGCAAAACGGAGAAACAGAGGGCATCTGAAGGTCTAGTAGCTCACCACGAACACGCTGGAGCAAAGAATAAGACCGGATAAGCTACGAGGACACAGGTCGACGTTAACAGAGGTCACGGCAGAGCGATCTTCGACGACGGCGATGCTCCGGTAGCTATGGTGGTCAAAATGAGAAACCAATGGGTCACAAAGCACTACATCAATGCGGCGAAGATGAAGCAAGACTCAGCAAGGGCAGAGACTCACCGTAGCGCCTTCGCCACGCAGCAGCGCGCTCGACGGCGGGACTACCTACCGTGGAGAAGAAATACTGACGAGTGGCGGTTCCCGGTGAAATTAAGCCAATTGATGGGTTGGCTAAGCGCCAAGAGATAAGGCGGAGCTAATGGATGCTTTCTTTGCAACGGCGAGGCACCTTTGTTCGACGACGAGCTCACCGGAGATGATCGGCAACGTTGGGAAAAACAGAGGGCGAAGGAAGAACAACGACGACGACGTCGGAGCTTTATAGGGCGGCCAAGGAAGCAAGGAGAAGCCACGGCAACGCCTTTCCCATGCCAGCGCGAAGCCAAGACCACCACGCGCGCGCCTGGAACGCCGAAGACGGTCGCCGACCATGTAGCTTCGGCGGTGAACACTGTTCACAATATTTACAAGTTTGCCATTCGCCAAAATTGACAAATTACTCTCAAATTTTCATAACAACTCAAAAATCTCCAAAAACAAAAGTTGTTCAAAATCAAAAGTTCTACAACTTTGCTTATATAACCATCTCCTAATTCGGTCTAGATTTTGAAATGAACTTTTGAATTTGAATAGGGAAATTTAACGAATTACGCCTTTTTGAATTACTCAAAATTTTTCTAAACAACTTGAAAAACTCTAAAAACAAACTTTGTATAACTTGCCAAGCTCTACACTTTTGCTTTTGGGATCAACCCCAAATTATGCTTAGATTTTGAAATGCATTTTCAGGGTAGGATTTAAATGCTGAAAAGCGGGGTTTTCTCGAAAAATTCAAAATCCAAACAAACTTTGAACTAGAGTCAACCAATACAATTCAACACATACCACATGAATATAAACTTGTTTTAGTGTATGCATCTCAAAGTTTTCACCAAATACCAAATGCTTTGCAATGCATATGATGACATGTCAGGTTTTAGTATTTTAAACACCCGAGGTGTTACAGGGTGCAGCCCATGTGATCTGCCGTGGGTATCCGGGGTCGTACCCCACACATGGCGCTACCTCAACTACCTTGACCCTAGCCTAACCAATCCACCCTATTGGCCTTCAATGCCACCACCCATCCTTTACCATCATGACATGTAGCATCTCTACAGCCTCAGCAACCCTTACAATCAGCCTCCTCGATGATCACCCCTTTGTAAGAGTAAGTAATCCCGGCTATGTATTATCTTTCATTGACGAATTCTATTAGGGTCCGTTTGGCAGAGCTGTGCTCCCTGATTCTCCAGCTGTGCTCCCTGATTCTCTGGTGAAGTGATTCTGAGGCTGAAAATAATTTTCTTTGATTCTTTAGCATAAACTATTAAAATCACTATGGAGAATCACTTCACAGAATCAGGAGAAGCTACTTTTTCTAGCTCTCAGCCTCTTAGTTCATTTCAGAGAATCACTTCACAGAATCAGCAGAGAATCACTCCACTCTAAAAAAACCGTTTGGCAGCCGAGGAGTGATCCTCTTCGAGAATATGCTCCATGGAGCGCTCCCAAACGCACCCTTAAAGTATATAGCCTTGGAAGTGACGTTCATGTTTGCTCGACCTAAATAGATAAACTTATATGTTGACCAGATCAGAAACTTGAATATAATGTTTTCCACCTATCGGTGTTTCGAACCACCGGCTAGTAAATTTGTATCTACGCGTCTGGCCCGGATGGTGTGCTCGGAGGACACAAGGATTTATACTGGTTCGGGAGGAATGTCCCTACGTCCAGTCTACTGCTGTTTGTGTTACCGGTATTAGTTTGTAGTAGGGGTTACAAACAGACGAGAGAGGAAGAAGGTCCTAAGTCTCTAGTGAAAAGATCGAACGAAGTTGAGTCTTGTAAAGCTCGTTCAGCTGTGCCCTTCATGGGGCATCTTGCTTCCTCTTTTATAGGTGAAGGGGAAGGCACAGGTTACAGATAGAGAAATAGATAGAAAAGGAGAAAAACGAGGAAGAAGAAGGCCTCTAGGGTCGTGGCGTCCTTCATCTCCTTTATGCGGGTCCCGCGCGGTCCTGTAGATGATGACGGGGATGGCTCCACGTCGCGGCCCTGCTCGTCACTGGTGCTCTACGCAGGCGTCGTCAGCCAGTCACAGCGCTCCACTCCATTCCGGCGAGCGACGTGGTCAACAGGTACTCCTGTCAGAAGCCGTACGGGGATTAGGTAGCACAACGCCGGCACGCCCGACACTGTTGGTGACGTGAGCCTCCAGGTATGGTCCGTCGCAGTCACAGGTCACGTCAAGACGTGCCCGCTTCTCTCCCGGTGTCAGAAGTTTGACCCTGGGTTCGTACTCTTAGACCCGTAGTGGTTGGAGGCGATATGGATCCCCGTCGGGCGAGACAGGGCCCGCGCCCGAGGGTCGGGCGAGACCTTAAATGCGTCTTGGACCATCAGATGAATTAACGTTCGTGGCCATTAACTTTCTTCGTTTGGGTATCCTAATATCGATACCCGACACCACCCATATGGATCATGAACACCTTACTGTTTTTGCATGTGAAAATAAAGGGCAGTATGTTTTTCACCGATGATAGATGGCATATTAAGGATTGTTAATCAGATAAAAAATGCATTGTTAATTAATTAACAAATGCTAGATATAGTAATTAGTATTCACTCTGTCTCAAAATAAGTGACACATTGGGATTCACGCTGGTCACATTTTCTTAAGTTTGACTAGATTTAAAAAAATATTAGCAATATTATAATCTCTAAATAAATTTATTATGAAAATATATTCAACGATTCATCTAATGATATTATTTATGCACCATAATAAATATTAATAAGTTCTTATATACTACGTGAAGGAGTATTTTGGTTAAAGTTAAAATCATTTCACTTCTCGAGAACGACACTATTTTGGGTATAGAACATTTCTCTCTTTTTCATTCCTTCAAGTAGGGTCGAGGCAATGCATGGCTTGACGAGGACACATTGAGGCTAAGGTACCATTCATGATTACTCCTCCGTCTATAAAAAAAATGCAATTCTCGTTTTTCAATAAATCTAATAATTTGAACATTGACTAAATTTATATAAAAAAGTGCAAATATTTATGATATAAAGTAAGCACCATTAGATTAGTTGTAGAATATATTTTTATAATAAATTTATTTAGAGACATAAATGTTAATAATATTTACTATAAACTTAGCCAAATTTTAGCTTCTTTAACCGATACATATCCTATAATTACATTCTTTTGTGGATGGAGGTAGTATCATTTTAATACCAAATCTCTTCTCATGTTTCTAGGGTTTGCCGTTCATGATTATCCGGCCTGTTCGCTTGGTTATATTTGGCTTATAAGCCATGGCTTATCAGCTAATAAATAGTATTTTTCTCTCACACCAAACTAGTTAATAGTACTTTCAGTCATGCCTCGACAAACAAGCCTAACGCCTTGTTTAGTTCCACCACAACTTCCAAAAAGTTGCTACAGTACCTGTCACATCGAATGTTTACGGCCCGTGCATGGAGCATTAAATGTAGACGAAAAGAAAAACTAATTGCACAGTTTGGTGGGAAATTACGAGACGAACGTTTTGAGCCTAATTAATCCATATTTGAATACTATTTACCAAATAAAAACGAAGGTGCTACAATAGCCCCAAAATCTAAGGGCCTGTTTGGTTCCTCGGGCTCCTCCTAAAATTCCTGTCACATCGAATGTTTGAACACATACATGAAGTATTAAATATAGATTAATTACGAAACTAATTGCATAACTTACGACTAATTTACGAGACGAATCTTTTGAGCCTAATTAGTCCATGATTTGACAACGTGGTGCTACAGTAAACATGTGTTAATGACAGATTGATTAGGCTTAAAAAATTCGTCTCGGCAATTAGCCTCTATCTATGTTGGTTTTGTAATTAATCTATATTTAATACCTTTTATTAGTATCTAAACATTCGATGTGACATGAATTTTAGGAGCATCTAAAGAACCAAACACCCCCTAAATTTCACGAACTAAACAAGGGCTAAAAGAACAAGGCCGATCATTCGTGATTATCTTCCATGCTCCTCTGGCAGACGGCAGTGACACACTGACACTGACACTGTGACACAGGGCTGTCAGCCGCGAGTCGCCGTCCGGCCGTCCTCGATCGACTACCAAACAGCCGGCCTGCGCCAGCGCCGCTCCATCATCCCGTTCCGTTGCCTCGTCCTGTCCAAGCGGACAGATCCAAAGCAAACCCAGAAAAAAGTTTGAAAAAACCATTCGCACTCCCTCCTCCCTCCACCGCCACAACCCACCCACCCGTACCCCAATCCCCTCTCCCCCCATTCACCAGATCGAGCGCCGCGTGCCTAGGGTTTGCGCCCCCGCCGGCAGCGATGCCCGCGTCCTCCGTCTCGGGGGGCAGCGGCCCCGGAGGCGTCTCCCCGGACGCCATCATCGAGTGGCTGCAGGACGAGATGGGGTACCCCTCGGCCCCGCCCGCACCGGAGCAGCTCCGCAAGATCTGCCGGGGCAACATGATCCCCGTCTGGTCCTTCCTGCTCCGCCGCGTCCGCTCCGAGCGAACCGTCGCCACCGCGCGCCGCAACATCCTCGTCCACGGTGTCGCGGCCCGGCGGGCGCGGGAGGGCGGAGCGATGGGGGCAGGCGCCGGTGACGCCGCGGCCAGGGAGGCCGAGGCGAGGGAGCGGGACCTCGCCGCCGAGGAGGCAGAGCGGCTGCGTGGGGTCGTGAGGAGGCAGCGCAAGGAGCTCCGCGCGCGCATCGCGGAGGTCGCCAGGGAGGAGGCGGAGCGCAAGCGCGTCCTCGGCGAGCGCTCCAATGCCAGGTACCTAAAATTATAGCGGAATTATGGGGTACGTCTAGGCGATTACATAGTTGCTACGTTGTTCCTGTATTCAGTTTTGCTGCTTGCAAAATTTTCTCAGAAATGGCACAATAGATGTAGGCGCTCCTGACTGTAACTATTCCTCTAATAGAAATGGTGATGCTCAATGTACTGATATATGATTGCTTGGAAGCTGATATCATTGTTAATCCTAATATACTTTGCTGCGAACAAAAGGGTTTTCAGAGATATGAAATCCAGAAGACTGGCACATAGTAAAACGCCATCTGTACGATCTACTCAGTTTCACCAGTCTAGATGTCACTAGGTGTCCCTCCGTTAAAAAAAAACACTATCTTTATATTCCTATCAATTATCTACATCTGGAATCAGTGTTTGTGCGTATACCAACATCTGATGACAATCCCTTAGAGGGTTTATAAGTGTAAGTGCCAATAAATTCATATTTCTTTATGTTTGTTGCATTAATAAGCCAAGAAATTCGTGGCAGTAAGTCTGCTGACATATGAAAAGTCATACCAAACTCCTAGCATGTGAAAAGGCTGTTGAATTCACAAATTCTGGCACACAGAGGCAGTCGGCGTCAATGTTTGTGGTATAGTTGTTTTATGGTCAGCATTACATGATGTGTTTGAAAACAATAACTGATACTGCATTTGTGTTTCTTCCTCCTTGCTTTGCAATTTCGTTTATTTATTTATATAAACTGTGGCAAGTGGTGATGGTGTGCTTGTAGCTGATCTAGAATAATTGACAAGAGTTTTTTTTAAATAAAAAATAGGCACAAGCAAGTTATGCTCGAAGCATATGAACAGCAATGCGACGAAGCTTGCAAAATATTTGCTGAATACCAGCGTCGGCTACATCAGTTCGTTAACCAAGCAAGGGACGTGCGAAGATCAAGTATAGGCGTGGCTGGAGCTACTGGTGCTGTTGAGGATATGCAATTGCAGAGTGATAGAGAGGATCTTTACTCATCAACTATCAAAAGCAATAGGTTGCCAGAGGATCTTTTAGAAACTGCAGGTGAAAGGAGCATCCGGAAGGCATGTGAAACTCTTGCTGCGGATATGATTGAAACAGTTCGAAGTTCATTCCCGGCATTTGAAGGGAGTGGCATTAATTCAAGTTGCCAATTAGATGCAGCAAAGCTGGGTATTGACTTGGATGGTGAAATACCAACAGATGTTAAAGCTGTCGCATTGGATTCCCTAAAGAATCCGTTCCTGCTTCTGCAGTCAATCATTACCTACACATCGCGCATGAAAACACTTATACATAGAGAAACAGACAAGATTGACATACGCACTGATGCAGAGTTACTGAGGTATTACATGCCTTGTCTTCAATTTTTCTTATTACCGTATCTCAGGAATAGACATTAAAAAGAGTTCTGTGTTTTTTTTTGGTTTTTTGTCACACATAGTGCTGATTGTGCAGAAGAATTCTTCTTGAGGGTCTAGTTATGTGCTCATGAGTGAGAATATAGATCGTATTATATACATGAATTGGTTGAGCTTTAGTTGGGAAATTAATATACTGTTTAGGCATTTGAATGTATATGTCACTTTGTTGGAAGTGGATATGATATTAAAATTAACATGAAGCTTGTAATTGAAAAGGTCTGTAATGTGTGTTGATTTTCGTCAATCGATGTGTTCTGAATTGAGTTGCTACACATACTAGCTGAGCTGCTTATAATTTTCGGGTTAGATTTTGACCAGATATGCATTGTTTTCCTAGGTATAAATATGAAAATGAGCAGGTTATTGATGCTGCTTCAACTGATGCAAGCTCACCCTTACCGTATCAGGTGTATGGAAATGGGAAGACTGGATCTCAATTGTCAACTCGAGGAACATATGATCAGCTACTAGAAAGACAGGTAGTTACTTATGAAGTGTTCTTTTTCTTCTGGTGCGCATGAGGTGTTTTGATGTTGTATTAGCACAAGGGTTATTGTTCTCTTCTGAGTTCACACTTCTTTCTATGAATGAAACCAGCACCTCTACATTTCTGTATTATTTTACGTCATGCATTTGATTTCCAAAATCAGAAATTTCAAGTTATCTCTTAGTACTAATGTTATTTTGGCCTGCTTTATTTTAATTTTATCTAAATATTCAACATTGCTGATATTGAATTCACTTTTTTAAAAACAAAATTATTCAAATATTAGTAGTCGTAGTATTAAAATATTGAATTCCTGGAAGGAGAAAACAACCTGCAGTGTATCATGGTAGCTCTTACACGAAAAAAAAAATCGTGATTTCATCTAGCTCTTCTTTGTCCACTTGGTGCACTAACATATTGCATTGTGCCTTCTGCACAGAACCTCAAATAAAGCACATGATGCTGAAGATAACTTATTAATCACATTTTGCCTTTCAGAAAGAACATGTACAGCAATTCTTGGCAACAGAAGATGCTTTGAACAAAGCTGCAGAAGCGAAAGCACTAAGTCAGAAGCTATTGCAACGCCTGTATGGCACCATTGACATGGCAGGAAGTAAGAAGCTGCCTACTGGGAACACCACACAAAATGTGACCAACAGTAGGCATTTAGAGGTACTTTTTTGAAAGCTGTATCCTATAATGAAACCAATTTGTGTGCTCCTTGATAGACTAAATGGTATTCATAATACATATAGTAAGATAGGAACAAGAATAACATGTGCACATGTCTGAGATATATAATTTGCTGTTCCAGTTTTGCTGTCTAGAGGTTTGTGTTTCCAGGTTACATTAATACCTATTTACTTGTTGTGAGCAGTGTAAAAATCCAAGTTCATTTTAAAGTTTAAACACCTTGCTTAGGACCTAACAATATGTACCTGAATGCATGCATCAATGCAATTACATATAAGTGACTCATGTGGGGGTGGCAAAACTGCTGTTTGTAGCTTTATGTGCTTGCTGCTTCTTAACTCCTTAATTCTGCATTTTTCTTATTCAATTTAGCATATAACAAAAAAAACTTTGGATAATCAATACCTTTTCCTGGTAACATATTCCACCTCATTTTAGCTGGACGTTTGGGCCAAGGAAAGAGAAGTTGCGGGACTAAAGGCGAGCTTGAGTACGCTTACATCTGAGGTACAACGTTTGTATAAGTTATGTGCTGAGTGGAAGGAAGCGGAAGATTCATTGAAGAAGAAATGGAAGAAAATCGAAGAATTCGACGCCCGTCGATCAGAGCTGGAGTGCATTTACAGTGCTCTTCAGCGGGCTAATATGGTTAGCTAGCTTGCAATATTGTGACTCTCTCTTTCAACTCTAGGATTTGTCTGGTATGGGAATGAGCTTAGTGATGGATGTCAATAGCTGTGAGTATAGTGTTGTAGTGAGCTTTGATCTTATATTATATTTTGTTTATTCCTGCTCAGAGTTGGGTATTTGATTTGTCATTTGTGATATTAGTGGTTTGCAGCTTGTAGGTTGTAGGAAATATGTTAATGGTGGTGGGGACTCATGGGGCTTGGTCTCACTGTCAGTATTTTGATATCAAATACAATTAGGTCAATTGCTTTGTTGACATCGAATCTTGATGATATAGGATGCATCGGCATTTTGGGAGCAACAACCATTATCAGCTAGAGGATATGCATCAAGTACAATTATCCCTGCATGCCATGCTGTGGTAGACATGTCTACGAACTCAAGGGACCTCATAGAGCGAGAGTTAGCTGCATTTAGCCAGAGCTTGGATAATAGCTTGTGCAGGTTGCCAGCAACCCCTCAGGTTAGTACTGTTATATGTTTAAATTGATTACTTCCAAAATAATATCTGTCTGCTATGTAACTATATCAGTACTCGTTTATATCCGCTTTACCCGAATGAACTGGATAAGCATGAGCCACTAAAAATATGCTAGACAGTTTTCTCCATATATTGCCTTTGTGATGTTGATGTTGTCATTGCTGAAACATGTCCAGCATTCTCATCTTTTCAAGATTCCAGTTCTTATTAGATTGACTACTACTGGTGCATTTTAACAAGCCACTATTTAGGCCAATAAAGACAATTTTCCATCTCTACCTCTGTCCATCTCCCTTATCATCAGCTTGTCACGGTTGAACTTCAGTCACTATTCTGCTGACATTACCCTACTGTAGGCCCTTTTGGAGGCCGTGGGTTCTAACGGCGTGACAGGATCAGAAGCACTTGCAGCTGCAGAGAAACATGCAGCTTTGTTGACTGCAAGAGCTGGTGCCAGAGATCCATCTGCCGTGCCATCTATATGCCGCATCTCTGCTGCTCTTCAGTATAACTTTGGTATGTTCAGTGGTACTGGCATTGTTATGTGTTTTGGTTCAGGAATGCGTATTATCTTTTATGTCGTGTCATCATTGATTACTGGATGCCGTAATTTAAAAAGCATATTAAAGATGAAATCATATGTAACCGTCGTTGTATTATCATGATGATGCATACTAGAATTCACAATTGTAACAATCCTTGTGTTCCTATTGTTCACATCAACTAAAGGAGAAGTATTTTGATATTATCTTGGCTGCCATTCTACCTATAACTAACTAGTTTGCAACATGCATCAGTATCAACTTCTTACAGCACATGTTACTTGATTTGTCGACTGTTTTGGCATCCCCCTTCCTGAATTGTAGTGTATACTCACATGCTTCTCATGTCCTGATTGATAGTTTCACCAGGTACAGAAGGCACAGATTCCGGCTTGGCTTCAGTATTAAATTCACTGGAGTTCTGCCTAAAACCATGTGGGTCTGAAGCTAGCATATTAGAGGATTTATCGAAATCTATCAACTTGGTGCACACACGGAGAAATCTTGTTGAGAATGACCGTGTTTTGCTGAACCGTGCACGTCGTGCTCAACAAGAATATGAAAGGTGCATTCCATATTATTTACCTTTTTAGTTCCTTTGCAGTAGCTATTTACTGAATCCTGCCAGAAACTGATTCAACACAAAGGAGATTTTGTCTGCTTCATTTTTTACTCTAGTTATTTCAGTTGGAATATTTGTTCTATCTGCTCAAATGGATGTGTTTTCAGAACACGTACTGATATGGCATGTCTTTGTGTAGAGTGGCCAACTATTGTCTTAAATTAGCCGGTGAACAAGAAAAGGTGGTGAGTGAAAGATGGCTTCCGGAGCTGAGAAATGCAGTTCAAGAAGCTCGAAGGTGTTTTGACGATTGCCAGCGTGTTAGGGGCCTGGTAAGCGAATAGTAGCATTGATTTAAATTTTTGTGGCTATGCCTTTGTTTGTTCACCCGATCATGGTGTCAAACAGTATGTTACTTAGCAACTGCCCCATTGGTCAGATCTGTTGCAGTGTTACTATGATAAACCTGTTTGTCCTGTGACCAATGAACTCATGCTTCTATGTTGTTGCAACTTCCAGGTTGATGAGTGGTACGAGCAGCCAGCAGCCACAATTGTGGATTGGGTAACGATAGATGGGCAGAGCGTTGGTGCCTGGATCAACCTCGTGAAGCAACTCCACATGGAGATCTCCAGACGGACGCTGGCCATGTCATCGGTAGGAGACGACTGAAACAACCAGCTGTGACCCCTGTGGCTTTGGAACTAGTTCGGAGGCTCTATGATGGGTTCGGTTTGGCGCCAAGATATCTTCTATCTACTCGATAGCCTTTTCCCATTGTAGTTTATATTATACGCCTCTCTCTCTGGTTTGGTTTGTAATTAGTTTTTGACATGTGCCTTCTGTATGTTGGCAATTGTCATGTGCTGGTTTTTTCATTTGGCGCAGACGATCGGTGTTGGTGTTGTGGCTTTGCTGATTTGGGTGCAGCTGTGGCTTTGCTGTTTGGGCTGCACCTGCCGTCTTAGCTGTTAGTTGTACAGGGTCGCGCCTCACATGTGAGTGTTCAATCAGTCCGTGAATTGTTTCAGTTATAACGTCCATTTAACTTTCTAAGAGCATCTCCAAGAGTTTGCTATCTCAACTTGGCATCCATATAATTTTAATAAAACAAGAAAAAATAGCCTCCAACAGTTTAGTAAAACAACTTAGCATCAATAACAACTTGGCAAATCTTTCCTCCGCGCGTGTAAATATACGTGCGCGTATATAGCTTGGCATCCGGGGCTCTTCGTTTCTTAGCGGGGCTCTTCGTTCGCTTAGTGGTTCTCTTCGTTTTATTAATGAGTTTTTTTATTTTACCAAGTCAAAAATGTCAAACTCTTGGAGATGGATTGTTTTTTTATTTGACATATAATTTTAGGAGTTGACAAATCATAAGATTTGTAAGTAAAATTTGATAAACTCTTGGAGATGCTCTAATTTAGCCAAAGGAACATGCCCAGACAAAACGTGCTCTTCGATCACACTGCTTTCACAATTACTCTTCCAGAAAGAGTGAACGGTCGGTTCTTAAACTTAGTTTACTAAATATTTATACATTGAATGCACCGTGAATGTGTTTAGTTAGGCTTCATTCAGTAGAGTCATGTTGACCATCCAATAGCTGAAATAGCACAAATGCAATGGTTGCAAACGGCGCGGCGGCGGTCAGTCCGCCCCGCGTCCGCAGCAGCCGCGAGGGACTTTGCGGGTAGACGCGGCGGCCCGCGTAGCGCCGCGTACGTCCTCGCCTACGACCGCCCGGGCTTCCGCCGCATCCTCTCGCCCTCACCACCGCCAAGGTCCTGGGCGCGCTCGCCATCTCCGCCACCGTCGTCTCCCTCCCGATCCTGTTACTGCGCCTGCTCCGCGTCAAGGTCCGGCACGCACCAAGCCGCGCCAACTCGATCGCGACCTCGCCACCGTCCGGCGCCGCGAGGAGACCGTCTGGCGCGTCGTCCGCACGGCCACGCACCACATCCGCGACTCCATCGATGCGCGCACCATCCTCCGCACCACCATGCTCCAGCTCGCCGCCGCCCTCGGCCTCAGCAACTGCCCGTGGCTTCCCCTCCGCATTCTCCTGCCCAGACTAGCTGCACAAAGCCACAAACGGGGAGGCTGCTTTCTCTGTTTTTTCCTTGGCAGTCGCACCTCCTTGCGGGACGCTGCGGCGCCGTCGGCCGTCGGACTACGCGGACATGCCGCGTCGACCCGCTCCTATCTTGCGGGTTTAGGTGAAATTGCGGCGCGAGTAGCCCAGCGGGTTAGCGGCGTGGCCCCCGCCGTTTGCATTCCTTCTCCCAAATAGCGCATTTCATTAAGAGCAAGTATAATAAGATAATATAATATAAGCAGGTAGTATGGGTTGTCATGTCCCTGGGCCAGATAAACCAAGTGCAGGTTTTCAGATCCAGCCCAGCAGCCCCCTCCAAGGTCCAACTCGAAGCCCATCTAGCCATTCCCAAACCTAACTGACAGGAACTTAGGAAGCTGGAAGCCCAATGCTCGCCGCCTTACCCGTCCCGCTCGCTGCTCGCGAAGTCACGACGCCGACGCCCGACGCCTCGGCCAGTCGGCCTCTCCCCGTCCGCGTCCGGAGTCACCGGCCGCCTCGGCCTCGCCCCGTCGGCCTCGGCGCCACCCGCCCTCCCCGGTTCGCCGCGGCGCCGCCTACCGCCTGCTCGCCTCCTGCAAGTTGCAGCCACCCCTACACTCTGCATCCCCGCCCTTGCAAGCTTCCTGCCCAGCTGCCCGCCTCCGTGGCGTGGCCCTGCGGCCACAGCCAAGCCCGGCGCCTAGGCCACGTGCGACGTCCAGGCCTCCAGCACCAGGCGCCAGGTTGAGCCGGCCAGGTCGCCCCGCCCCTTCTCCTGCCTCCTGTTATTTTTTCCATACTATACACTTGTGCTTGCTGCACATCTCACATCTCACCGTGACAGTGTGACATGATGACTTGAGTTACTAACATCCAGATCTGGTTCTACTTTTTATTTTGAATATTCAGTGATGTACTATTGTGTTTAGCACTATGAATCGATATCATCATCTAACTTCTTTGTTATATCTCTTAGTACTAAGACCAAACACGCATATGCCACACATTCAATGGTACAGTGCATATACTGCTACATGCATACACACGTACGGCCTGTTTGCTGGTTGGTTTCTGGGCTGGTAAGCCCGACCTGGTTGGTTTCTGGGCTGGTAAGCCCGACCGATGCTGCTGGTTCATTGTGAGAGGAAAACACTGTTGGTAGTTTACCGACCAGTTATTATGGAAATATACAAACCATGCATTACTTCATAAAATGCAATGCAGATATAGATATAACATGCATATTTATGTAAATTCATGTCTTTGCCTCCACCCTCCATGTTCACTTCTTTAGTACTTCCATATGGCATCCATCTCTATGGTGGGGGTCATAGACCCTGGGCTGGTGACGGACATCATCGACCAAATCTCAGCGGCATTAGCCTGCTCGTCCTTCTGCGACGCCATCGAGGATGGCCTAGGTACAACAACATCAAAGCCGTCAGTGCCAGCTGCTCCCATGTCCATCTGGCCAGCTGCTCCCATGCTCATATGGCCAGCTGCTGCCCCCATGCCCAATGGGTGGTAGAAGTTCATCTGTGGCGGCATGGCTATCGGATTGCCGAACAGGGCGTCGTTGATCTGGAGCCCGCTGGTGCCACCGATACCTGCCATAGACGGCATCACGGGTGGCATCCCCGCGCTGGTGTTGGAAAAGTAGGGGGCCACTGGGTCCATCGCGAAGTCTGGCCGGATGGGAGATTCCATCGGCATGGGCATGGGTAGCGGCGGCTGTAGCGGCATGGGGATGGGGATGGCCGAGATGTTGTTCTGATTTTGACCAATCTCAGCGCCAGCCATGGCCACCTTGTACGCTGGAGTAGTCGTCTTCTTGATCCTAGTGGTCTTGTCGAACACACGACAGACCACCCACTCATCCTGCGCAAATTTCATTTATAAACCGGGAGCAAAATCAGATTAGGATAAGCAAATAAAGCAAGTACCATATGGATGCATCCATCATGTCGATGCTGTTACCACTACCACACACCTTGGAAGCTGAAGCTGAAGCTTTCATGGCCGCGGCGTTCGCGGCTGAGCTGGATGCGGATGCTGGGTCGGGGAGCCTACCGCTGCCTTCGAGCCTGTACTCGTGCATCACCTAGTTCGTTTTGTCGCCCCTAGGAGCCCGGCCCTTGTAGAAGACGAGTGTCTTCTTTATGCCGACGAGCAATAGCACCCCTTGTGTGGTATTGTAGACCTCCTTGTCCTTGCCGGTTGCTTTCCAGTAACCGCCCTTTGTGGCCCGGTTCGCCCTTAGCCCTGTCGAGTACCACTCTTTCTCGCCTATTTTTGCCTCTCCTGCAGCATGTGAACCAATCAAGCGCCATATATTAGTCCACATATCGATCACTAGCATAGCAGCATGCATCCACTATTTGGATCAAACAAGACAAGGGTGTATATGTATGTACACATCAAGGCTTCTTGTTACATACGTGGGAGGTCCCATGGCTCTGTCTTGTTTAGGTCGACCTCTGCGATGACGGTGCTGGTGCAGTCCCTATTGCGCACCTTGTTCGTGAGGTAGATGCTGACAATCTCATTGTCACTCGGGTGGAAGCGGGACCCTGGAGGCAGGCTGAGGCCTCCGCCAGCGCCAGCAGCGTTCATCTCCTGCTGCTCCGGCTGTTGTTGCTCTGCCATGGTTCTCTTGCTCCTTAACTAAGATCATCAGATCCAGGAAGCACCAAAAAACAACCGTATCAAGCAACACAAAATAAGCTGAGAAAATACTGAAAAAATGAAGCTTACATACATGCACAAACTCGATCTTCTTGACCTGCCGGTTAGTCTCTCGCTCACCAAGATGAATGCAGGACAAGTTTTTGTATTGCAGTGAGTCGGGCATAGCAGCACGGCGGCTTAAATAGGCAGGAGGTGTGTTCGCGCACGACACTTTTCCGCTGAAGCATCCTGTCGCGGCCCGGGCTCCCCTCTTTTCAGGTGGTGTCTGTTTCTACTGGGCCTAGTTCGCGCACGACACTTTTCCGCTGAAGCATCCTGTCGCGGCCCGGGCTCCCCTCTTTTCAGGTGGTGTCTGTTTCTACTGGGCGTAGTTCGCGGTTAGGAATCAGTATTTTAGTACCGTAGCATTTTCGTTTGTATTTGATAATTATTATCCAATCATGGTCTAATTAGGCTCAAAAGATTCGTCTCGTAATTTACAATCAAACTGTGTAATTAGTTATTTTTTATCTATATTTAATATTTTATGCATGTGTCCAAAGATTTGATGTGATGAAGAAAGAGTGAAAAAACTTAGAATCTAAATAAGGCCTGGATATTGTTGGACCCTTGTTTTTTCCAACTGGGCCGCGCTTGTCCTCGTGCACCCAGGCTTGCTTTTGCGCTGGGGCCTCGGATGCTACTGGCGACAGGTGCCTGGGTTCTAGAATGTCTCTGCCTGCGTGCGGCGTGCAGCGTGCAGCCTGCTGTGACCCGGCTCTGGTTTGCCCACCCTGGCCTACGATTCCTGTGGATGTATGCGTCCGCGCCACTCATGCATGTAGGCATGATCTGCCCGTCGTCTCGTCTGTATGCAGAAGAGGGATGCGCGGCTAGAGATGCGCGCGTTAGTGGCTGAGGGCTGCTGCGGCTATATGGTGGCAAGGCCTTCGTGAGGCAAGGCCGTGGACCACGTTGTCTCGCATGCAGTGCAGGGGCTACTGTAAGCGTAGGCATCCATCTGGGTCGTCGTGATCTAGTGCTGATCATTGCGGTGCTAGGCGTCGTGTTCTTCACTACTCTATTAGTTTTAGGTGCATGCAGAAATGCACGCACGCGTGGCGTTGTGCCAATGTGGTATGCTATTGTTTACGTCAAAATTTGAAAAGAAGAACGCAGAAACTCGAAGCTTCTAAGATTACGTCATCAAGGAATCGATTACATAAGGATCGATATTAGCTGATTCAGATGTGGCACCGGAATCGGCTTTCTTCAGATGACGTCAGCAGATAACGACAATAAGCTACGTTTGGCGTCGGGAAAGACATGTCGGACTCTACAAAAAAGAGAAAGATTAGGGTCCGAGTTATCTTTAATTAGAAATATTTTTCTCTTATGTCAAAGATTGTAATGAGTCGTATTTGAGTAGGATTCATGCTTAGATTTCGGGTATAAATATTGAACCCCGGCTATTGTAAAAAGACACCCAATCAATCAATACAAATTACTTTTTCAGCTTTACACCAACCCTTAGGAACATGAGTAGTGCAGATCTTGACGAGTTCTTCAACAAGCAGGGCTGCATCAGTTCGGCCGACCTTCGACTTATCTGTAAGTACCGTCATGGCTTATGCTTTGGTTTGTAAGGCTACATCGTTTGAGTTCGACCTCCACTGCGAGCTCTAGCATAAGCTAGTTATCGATTCTTATCTAGTTCAAGTACGGCTGCATCGGTTAAGTTTGACCTCCACTGCTCCAATTAGATTAAGAGTGACATCCTTTGGGTAGATTTATTAAGTTACCGATCTTGCTGATGTTCTTATTGCCATTAGTTTCAACAACATCAACCTGCCCGGTCGAGATCGATCTAGATCGGCTTTATATCCTTTTAGTTCATCGTTTGCTTTGTTACAATACGGTGTTTCTTACTTTGAGCAACGGGTTATGTTTCATCGGCTGTTCTACTTCGATCTTGATCGTGTATAGTACGTGGTTAAGGCATGTATAATCTTGAGGAGCTTTGCTGGCTAGTTAAATCTGGTCTATAGTTCGCTATTATGGCTGTAATGATCCGGTCGATCCCCACTGATGGCACTTTAGATCGGAGAATGCTAGTTGGTAGATTTGTTTTCGATCAGGCATGACCTTGACTGTTTGCTATGCCTGCATCGGCTAAATAGCCGATCGCCTATGCTTTAACGCCTACAGTGTGTCTCCATAATTCTGTTAAATATGAATAGATCTGTTTACTTTAAAAGTTTGATTTGTTGTCTTTATCACGGCTGCCATCGATACGGTCGAACCCCACTGTTTGAGATAACAGGTTAAGCTGATGAGTTTATAGATTTGTCCATGTTAAATAGTTGATTGTTCACATGATGTAGTCCCTTTCCCACCTGAATCGGCTATTTCAACTGATTCGCTTGAGCTTTCACACATATAGCATGTCTTTCGGAAAGCCTGTCAATGTATAGATGGTTTTACGGATTCTTTGGTTTTGGTTTGTTATTATCATCATAGCTGCGATCGATCCGATCGAACCTCCCTGTTGATGGTAACAGATTAGATTCAGAGCGTTTGTAGATCCATTTATACTAAACAGTCGATTTATTCGCATGTTATATCCTTTCTCGTTAGATTTATTGGCTCAATGCTTTACACTGGTAATACCTACATAGCTGATGATTTTTACTTAAATCTGCGTGTATTATACTTATCAACATAAAATCAATCACAATCCACGAGCTTTATAGTCCGTAACAATCGATTTCTTCGCGTATCGGCCGTTTAGTCGATTTTTTCCGTCTGGCTGCTTCCGAAGCAGCACACTTAGAACTGTCTGGGCAAAGACCGGCATGTTCCACCTTAAATTACTGATAAACTTTCTCTCCTTGTCAATTGCAGGTCAAATTGACTGGCACGCCTCGGGAGGAATTCATAGGATCGGCTAGTCCTGCGTTGAAGCCAAGCGGATCTCCAGCCTTGCTCCATCAAGCAGATCCTTTTGGCTTGCTGTGTGTCAGGCGCATCGACATGTTTTTGCCTCGACACATATTCTGGCACGCCTAGTGAGACCCCACAATTGTCATGGTAACTTATAACAACAATGACATTCTTATGGTGCCTTATGAAGACCTACCTGATGAGGATAAAGATGTCATCAGCAAAGCTATAGAAAAATTTCAGAACAAGTGTTTGTTGTCCTACACCAAGACACGTAACAATAAAGTTGTTCAGAAATATCCACTACCAAGAGTTTTGATGCATGGGCAGACAGATGCAGATGAAGCTGAGGATAGGCGTTTCTTCGTAGAGGCTGTAAACAAATCTATCCATGATGCCATATTGAACCATAATACAGTTTTCTTGAACACATTCCACAACACCATGAAAGAGGTGTTTCATGGATATCCAATTGATTAGGTTGGACCAGTTTACTATAACATTCCACATCCATCGACTCAGAGGACTAATCAAGTCGGTACTAGCCATCAAGAAGCAGCACTAACTGGTAATGACAATGTCCAGGCAATTTAGAGCTCATCTGAGCAAATTCAAGGTACCACCATCGATCAAGTATAAAATAATCCTGGATCAACAGTGCAGTATGTGCAACAGCCGATGAGGCAAGGTCAGAACCAGATGGTTAATTTTGGCACATCAGGCCAAATACCATCATCGGCTCAAAAAATAGCACCATCAGTTCAAAGGATTCGTAGAGATATAGATCCTAACATTTACAACAAGAAACTCCAAGCAGCAAACCAACAAAGGACCCAACAGATAGAGATTCTACAGGAATATCATTATGGCACACATTACAATACCCTTCATGTGATTCCAAATCCAGGGTATCAAGGTAGCTAAAATTTTAATCCACAGATGGGTCAGCAATTGCAGAGAAATCCAAATTTAAATGCTGATGAGTTGTTGCTTAGAGTGACCGAGATGATGAAGAATCAGTTCGGTTTGAAGTCAAAAGGGCAGACCTTCTCGTACAAATGCCCATATCCAGAGTGGTATGATTTGGTCTCTCTTCCTATAAATTATAGGCTCCCAGAGTTTGCTAAGTTCATTGGCCAGGATAGCACAAGTACAATAGAATGTCTCTACCTACGTGCGGCGTGCATCTTGTCCTCGTGCACCTAGGCTTGCTTTCCTTGAAGATGGCATGACATGCTAGCTTTCCCTAGAAAAGTGGTGGCAACATGCGCTTGTTGATGGGTGCCATGGTCCATGTCATCCTGGAGAGGCTTCGGTGTGGTATATATATGTGATTGTACATGCTTATCAATTTGCTTAGCTTGAATGGGGCTAATCCTCTACACTCATCTTATGGGCGTGCCCCAACCTGTAGGAATCGACCGAAGTATCTATCATCACCAGTGTACCACACAAGCTACCATAGCCGCACTTTAGATATGGCATCAGGAATATACCTGATATCACTCTTTTTCCTATTCCGGCATTCATTTCATCAGCAGGGTGTAATCTCGTGTTAGTATAAAAACTATATATAGAAGTAACATATATTTGTTAGCATAGGATAAATGTTAATCATATGTCTCTAATAAACCCAGCAAGGAGACCCAATTCGGCATGGATGAACCCGGATCGGCTAGTGCCAGAGAAGGATATGATGTGGGGGTAGGGTTGGGGGGAGGCGGCTTGGTATATCAGGTCTCATGGCCAGTTGGATCTCCTACCTATGCTTTCTTGATTAATAGAGATGTGTTGTAACAGGTGGATAATAATGTGGCTACCGATGTAGAAGCTTTTTTATCGACATTGAAGCTCGGTTTTGTAGGTAGTAGTGAGATCTGTTTGATGCGCTGAACCTTTCTTAGTTGTCGTCGTATTGTATTTTGTTGCCACAACTTGCGGCTTGGCTTCTTGTGAAGCAAAGAACACATGCCATGAGTCGTGACTAGTCCCACCAATCTATTGGCGTAGAATTCTATCGGTGCTTTAAGATTGTC